TGGAGCATTAACCGCTGGGATATGAGACTTAGTTACTCTATTTGGGTCAGCAAATGAGTCTGGCAACTGATTTGCTAAGCTCTGTAAATGAATTATCTTTTGGACTTCTGATTCACATTCTCTAATCCGAGGATCATGAAAAGATAATGATAATTCATTCCAACGGATTTCATTTCCCAGCTTATTATTTTCTCCCCCCAATGTTGGATATACAGACTCATTGAAATGACAATCTGCAAAACGAGCCTTAAACAAATCCCCTGTAGATGGCTCTAGATATTTAATTATCGATGGGGAGTCATATCCAACATATATCCCCAACCTCCTCTGAGGCCCCATCTTAGATCGCTGTGGTGGAGCAATTGGAACATATACAGCACATCCAAAAACTTTTAGATGGGAAATATTCGGTTCACGACCCAAAATTAATTGTGAGGGGGAATACTTATGATTACTCGTTGGCCTGATGCGAATTAACTCTGCCGCATGTAAAATAGCATGTCCCCAAGCAAAAATTGGGAGTTTTGATTTCATAAGTAATGGTCTAGCAATCAGTTGGAGGCGTTTAATCAATGATTCAGCTAAACCATTTTGTGTATGAACATGTGCTACAGGATGTTCAACACTTATCCCAATGGACATACAATAATCATTAAAAGCTTGGGACGTAAATTCACCAGCATTATCAAGACGAATAGTCTTTAAAGGAAAATCTGGAAAATGTGCTCCTAATCGAATCAACTGAGCAAGTAACCTCGCAAACGCCAAATTACGGGTTGATAACAAAGATACATGTGACCATCTAGTCGATGCGTCAATTAGAACCATAAAATATCTAAAGGTTCCACACGGTGGGTGAATCGGCCCACAAATATCCCCATGTATCCGTTCCAGAAAATTTATCGATTCAGAATTTATCTTAGCAGGTGAAGGCCTTATGATTAGCTTGCCTTGTGAACATGCAGCGCATGAAAAATCATTAGGAAGAACCCTCTGGTTCTCCAATGAATGTCCACAAGAATTCATTATTATCTTTCGCATCATTATCGAACCGGGATGGCCTAACCGGTCGTGCCAAACATTGAGATTTTCAGTAAACTTCTGGTTTACTACAACATTTGCCTCAATCGTACTAATCTTAGTACAATATAAACCAGTAGAGAAGGTGGGTAGTCTTTCAATAATTTTCTTTGAGCCTTGGGTAATCCTTATGATCTGAAGGTACTCATCGTTTCCTTCATTCATAGTCTCAATATGATACCCATTTCTACGGATATCTTTAAAGCTCAATAGATTTCTCTTAGACTTGGGAGAATATAACGCATCAACTACTTCAAATTGCGTTCCCATAGGCAATAACATATATGCTCTTCCAGAGCCTTCAATTATGTTTGCACTACCCGAGACTGTACTCACACTAGCCTCTTTCATTATCATATGAGAAAAATATCTCTTTTTCTTTAGAATAGTATGGCTAGTCGCACTATCTACCAAGCATATATCCTCACCATCCATCATTATTTTCTAAATAAAGAAAACAAAAATATATATAATC